TAGAACAGCATTGAAGACTTAATTTAATAGCACTAGTCCCAATGAGGCAAACATGTTGGCAGCCTATACAAATTTCATGAAAACAACTATTGCTGATTTCTGAGGACAGCACATCCTAAAAAAATCTGAGTGGCCAAAGAATATTTCAAAGAATGACAGAAGACATTTCCGACCTGATAAGAGGTGCTCTCGAACAGAAGAACTCTCCAGCTTAAGGTATTCATCACAGCTGCAAAAGCATGGGGATCCTCCATCAAAGCTGTAAAGAGTGGAAAAGTCTTCGAGAATAGCAGCAACATTTGGGACATCTATCATCACTCCAAAATAAGAATCTTTGAAGACAAAACACTTAATCACATTTGGAAGCCACGGCACCAGAAGAAGTACTGTCAGGATGATCGGTGATCCACATAGAACATAAAATTGGATAACCTGGACAAAACATTCCTTGAAGCATAGAATAGATTCCAGACTAGATACTAAGTCAGAAGCTGAACAAGTAAATGCACTTCTGTACACAATCAACAATGTAACAGATAATGCTATTGCTCACCAATGAGTAAAAGATGTAACTGTTACATTTCCAGTTATTCTGTTACTGGGCAAATCAGATTCCAGACTGAAATCTGTCTTTATAGATGATATTTTGTTTCAATTGTTTTAACAAGATTGCCTCTGGCCGAAACATAAACATGCAACATTGCACATTTGGTATTAACAACAAAACCAAAGTTTATTAAGTAGAAGGAATTAAGATAAAAATAAAGTAGACCAAGTGATTTACGCATAATATGCCTTTAAAGATTTTGAAATACATGATAGGCATATAATCACATTAATCCCAAAGCACCCTAAAAACACCCCTTGTGCAGTACTTAAGATATAGAAATGGGTGGGATTGCAAGTAGTGAAGATAACAAAGAGTCTACAGTATGAATAGACAGATTAAGCAAGTGGGGAAAAATACTTGCCAGATGGAATATAATGTGGGGAAATGTAGGATCATGCCCTTTGGCAGGAAGAATAGAAGAGTTGAGTATTATTTAAATAGAGAAAGACTGCAGAAAGCTGCAGCACAGAGGGATTTGGGGTCCCTAGTGTCTGAATCACAAGAAAATTAACGTCCATATTCAAAGGATATTAGAGAAGACAAATGGAATGCTGACATTTATTTCAAAGGGAATGGAGTATAAAAGTTGGGAGGTCCTGCTAAAACTATATAAGGCACTAGTCAGACCACACCCAGAATACTGTGAACAGTTTTGGTCCGTTTATCTAAGGAAAGATAAATTGTCATTGAAGACATTCCAGTAAGGTTCACTATGATGGTACTGAGTATGGAGGGATTATCTTATGAGGAGAGGTTGAATAGGTGGAGCTTGTACTTGTTCATTTATATGAATGAAAGGAAACCTTATTGAAACTTATAAAATTCTTAGGGGTATTGACTACTTTAGATATAGAGAGGCTGTTTCCCCATGGGGCAAAAGCACATAATCTCTGATTTCTAACCTTGTTTGTTATAGAGTCTTTTTATAAATGGATCAAGTTTCATAAATGATGTACGACTACAGATGCAGTTACCGGAATCTTAAATTATTTGCAATATAGGGGTTTCCTAATGTAGTTGTTTGGCACACAGTCCATAAGTTGTGAATGAATGCTCCAGCCAATTTTGGACTTGAGTATGTCAGAAGCTCACCACAGTACCTAAAATCTAATGGGTAGGCTGTTTATGGACTCAGTCTTGAAGAATTCTGATTTTTATACATCACTGTTGAATTATAGGTCCATCACACTCCACTGCAGGCTAGCACTATCTGTGTTACTGATGGGCAGAAACCGAAAGAGTCAGATCCCTACACAGCCTAACAAATTGGCTTCATAATTAACAAGCAGTCCATTATAAGGAGTAAACCCATTGTGCTCAAAAGGCCCCACATTACAATAAACACTACTATATGAGGAATTTGCCATGGCCAAGAACAGGCAACCAGTGTGGAGCAGGGACTTAAGTAGAAAGGGTACAATCACATGCAGAGCGATGAACCAACAGATTGTAGTCTATTTGTAGATCACTGAAGGGACTGTGTGAAGGAACTTCCAGAATCTCATCCCATTAAGGTTGAGCCACCCACAGATTAATGATTAGTGTGAGCCAAATGGTCAGCCTATCAACAGAGGAGAACATTGAGCTCAGACTGTCAAGAAAACAGTCCAAGTCAACTACCTTCCCACCCAACAAGCTACTACTGTTCAAGGTCTAAAGAGATCATAGAATCCCTACAGTGTGGGAACATGCCCTTCAGCCCAACAAGTCCACACTGACCCTCAGAGCATCCCACCCAGACCCAGACCCCTATAACCCACCTAATCTACACATTCCTAAACACTATGGGCAATTTAGCATAGCTAATCCACCTAGCCTACACATCTTTGAACTGTTGGAGAAAACCAGAAGGAAACCCACACAGACACAGGGAGAATGTGCAAACTGCACACAGACAGTCACCCAAGGAGTGGAATTGAACCTGGGTCCCTAGCACTATGAGGCAGCAGTGCTAACCACTGAGCCACCATGCCACCCAACATATGTGGAAACAATAGTAAAGACTTTGATGTCTGAATTTGTAAAGTCAAAGATTTTGTGTGAGATGTGTCATGGTATTTGTAATTACATAAACAAATGCTTAACCATAATATTTATCAGGAATATGCTTTGGGAGAAATATTATACATGGGTCTGAAAGGATCTATAATGGTTAAAAGTGAAGAACTGCTGATGATGGAGATCTGAAATAAAAACAGAAAGTGCCTGTGAAACTCAACAAGTCTAGCCATTTGTATGGAGAGAGAAACAAAATTAAGTTTTCATGTTTGGTATATCTCGTCTTCAGAACACTGGTTTCGAAGAAAAGTCATGTCAAACTGTAAACATTAACTGTTTCTCCCGCTGTCAACAGGTGCTGCCAGATCTGCTGAGTTTCTCCAGCACTTTCTGTTTGTATTTCTGAAAGGGTTAGTACTTGATTAAGTATTATAAACATCACCTTCTGTGATTAAGTCATGAGGAAGATAGTGCTTCCAAATCACAACTCACTGTGCAACAAAATTCTCCACAACCTCCTTTTCTTCTCACCAGCAGACCTTTCGCTAAATAATTTAAATCTGTGTCTTCTGCTTGTGTATCCTTTTCATAGAGTCATAGAGTCCTACAGCATAGAGACTGGCCCAAACTAGTCCATGCCAACCAAAACATCTATCCATGCTCACCCCAATACCCTGTATTTGGCCCATATCTTTCTAAACCTTTACTATCCATCCAAATGCCTTTTAAATGTTGTTAATGTACCCACCTCAACCACTTTCAATGGCAGTTTATTCCATATACGTACCACCCCCCATGTTAAAAGTTGCCCCTCAGGTTCCCACGTATTCTTTCTTCTCTCACCTTAAACTGACACAGTCTAGTCCTCAATTCCCCAACGCTGGGAAAAAGATTGACTCCATTCACCCTATCCATGCCTGCCATGATCGGATACACTTCTATAGGAACCCCCCTCAGTCTCCTGTGCTCTGAAGAAAAAAGTCCTATCTTGTCCAACGTCTCCCTATAACTCAGTTCTGGTAACATCCTTCTAAATCTCCACTGTACGTTTTCCAGTTTAATAATATCCTTCCTATAGCAAGGCGGCCAAAACGGAACACAATACTCCAAGTGCGGCCTCACCAATGTCCTGTACAACTGCAACA